GGCCAGAGATCGGATCAAGGAGGTGAGCCAGAAGATGGCGTATCAATCCATGTCCACGATGCAGGTGATCTGCGCAGTGCTGGCATTGCGCCCGGCGCACCGGAGGTTCTTCCCGCAATGCACCATCGCTTCGTCGCCGCTAGCGACGCAGCTGAGGACGTGCCTGGTGAAGGCGTAGGCGGGTTCCTCTTGGTGTGGTGCTCGGGCGTACCAGCGCACGAGGCGTTTGTGGCGGTCGATGGTTCCTGACGGCCCGTGCGTCCCGTTTTCGTGGGGCCAGAGGAGTGTGGTACATCGACAACGTGGCAGGCCTCATGTGCCTCATTCCGGGCGCAGTGACTCCCCTGACCTGGCGCGCATGGCCACCTTGATTCATGTGGCCCTCTTTGCTCTCCAAACCTGGATCTATGGGGAGTGGATCCCATCCAAGTCCAACTGGTCTGATTCCATCAGTCGTCTCGGATGGCAGGACCCGTGGCATCGCACGCATAATTTTCAGTGTTTCTCCGCCACCTGCCTCTCAGACCCGTTACCCTCATCTTCGAGCTTTTGTAGTGCTTTGGGGAAGTAGTGCAGTGGGAGGTTGAGCCGGCGTTGACCGGCGTCTGTCCGGAGTGATGGAGATGCTATCTACCGGTGTGCAGCAGATTCCCTGCTGCCTACCCAAAGCATATCCTACGTAGTCAGGTTCTTCGAGGATGAGACAGTACGGGCACGACAGGTGAGAAAAAGAGCGAGCATGGGTGGAGTGATGAAGTAGCATTTGGTGGTAGCACTTGAATGAGGTTTTCCACACACACACACACCGCAACGTGTTGCCGTGACGTTCGGCAGTGAAGCTTCGTTTGAAAGACGTGCCTACGTTTGACGAGCATAAGACCGTGCCTGGCTTATGTTGATCAAAGCTTTGTGGTTGACATTTGATAAAGAAGAGAACAAGCCCAGAATCTTCATGTGCTTTGGACAAAAGGTTAAACTGGCAGAAGTACATCCACCTGCAGGCTCTCCCTTCATGAGAGCAAACACTGTTGCAGAAAACTCTTCAAGAAAGGGTGCGCTCAAAATGGGATTTCGTCAGCAGCCATAAGAGCACTCGGCCACAAAGAGTAAAAATTTCTGCGTAGCCTGAACGATGAGACAACTCTTGAGCCACGCAGCACTGAAATTGGTATTGGTTGCGAACTGGCAACAGCTGCAAACGTGGGTTGTTCGATGGTGAAAAATTGGTGCATCGCGAGGCAGCGCCGTTGCCAGCTTTCGAATGCTTAAATGAATTGGGGTCACCGGACTCAAATGTTAGTTCGTCTATCACCTGGTTTCAGCCCAAGGCTCTCAATCCCTCCTCATCTTTCTTGATTCTTTCTAGTCCCCGAGCGTCCTCCGGGAGCACGTGCCAGGAGTCCTGTCTCGAAAGTGCAGACAGCTGCAAGCATGAACATGGGCGGTGAGCTCCTTTTAAATGTCTCTTTAGATCTCTTGAGACTTGTCCGCGACACTGGATGAGAACCGGATGTCTTGAATGACTTCAGGTTGCTAGGAGGCAGTGTGTAACGACATTGGACTATTCGTGGAGTGGTTGCGCGAACTTCGCGATATGGAATCTAACGTTCACATCACTGTCAGTGTCAGAACGTCGAGTTTGGACCCACATTCTAGCTCTTTCCGTTGATGTTGAGCACTTTGTCATCATGGGCGCTTCGTATCACGAGTTGCTCATTGTTGGTATTTCTTTTGTGCAGCTGCACCCTTATTTGAAACTCAATGCTTTCACGTCATTGCAGCAATGCCTGCCTAAAGAAATAGGAAATCGTTTCGCAAGCTGGCTTCACAGCAGATGAACTCGCAGGAACTACCAAAAGGTTCAGTTGTTCTTGTTTCAGGAAGCCCAGAACACAGAACACAGGCAAGTTGCATGTGCTGCCTGTTATGCCAAGAGGTGGCACCCATATCCATGATCCAATTCACATTCTGCGGTGCTGGGGTTAGGTCAGCGGGGACAGCGGTGTCGTCCATGAAAAAGTTTGAACTTTTCGACGCGGTGTCAAGTTGGGGCTTTCTCATACTTGTGATGCCACCCTTCTGGCTTCCCATTATTTGTGAGGACGATAGTCTTTGATGTATCCTCAGGACTGCAACCAGTTGACGAATCCAGCGTTCCAGGCACAGCGGCCATTATCAGTTGCTTCCTGCAGCGCACACGAGACTTTTTGCATGAACAAGCTGTCGGTGTTGAGGCAGCCTTTACTGCCATAGCCCTCGCATCAGTTTGCCTGGTAGGAAAAATGACTTCTGCAGGGAGGAAGGGAGGGTGGGGATTTCTTGCAAGCCTTGCTGAGGATCCTTCGAGATTTTTCGAGTGTTTAGAGAGGGCCCGAAGACCTCCTTGTCTTGCCTTTTCCCAACTCCGTGAGGGCCACATGCAGCGGCTGCTGGGCACAGGCAGGGCAGCATGGTCTGAGCTTTGCTATTTCTTGGCTGTGACATTCGCTGCATGTCGCTACCTGTTCTGCGTGTCTGTTACCATTCTGGAGCCATTTCTACACTTCGTGCAAGGTGTGGATATCAGTCATCCGGAGAGTGAGCCGTTTACTTGGCTGCTGCATATGTGACGTGTAATTGGCACAGTATACCCGAAGAGCAGAGGAGAGGTTGGCTGCTTAGCAGTATATTGCGTGTATATTGCGGCTGGCAACGCCGGCCACAACCTTGCGTGAACTTTCACAGTTTCACGGCGAGGGCAATATTGCTAGCTGCAGACTCAGGTTCCTACGACTCATCAACAAGCACTTGTCTGCTCGCACGATGAAGTTTGCCTCGGTGCCATCCCCTGCTTCTTTGGCTGTGTAAGAAGCCTGGTGATTTCGTGGAGCAGGGTTTCCAAGACAGAGAAGTCTCCTCTTGTTTTCAGTTCGCAGCCGGCGTTCGTTCCTTTGCGTGTGGCTTTGTGAAATCAGATTCTGCATCTTTGTCATCTTCCAGAGCTGTCGCTTGAAGACCACCTGTGCTGATCTGCTCTGATCTGGCCTTATTTGTTGGCCTTCACGGGCTACCCCACCAGGCTAGGGTTTGGAGTCACATTCAGAGTAGAGCGTTCTGATGCTGATGATGCTTGTTCACGAAGGCAACACTGCGTGTCAGGAACCCTCTTGCAGGCTCCCAACAACAAGGATCAAGGAAAGAGAACTGCACATACAAGGGCAATGACACAAGCACCAGAGGGGCCCTCGGATGCCCATGATGCGGCTGTTGCTGCAGATCTAAGTGCCCCTTTCCTGCAGCTTCCGAACTACTGCTGGCAAGTATGATCAAAGATGCCGACATATTCTGAGCACCTCATCGAAGGACTTCATGAGCATGCTTGCCGTGTGCTTCGAGACCTAGCAGCTAGGGCAAGCAGTCTTTGTGCCCGCAGCTCTTGTGGTTGACGTCTGGAAGCTCAGTAGCGAGATCATCTATACATACCTTTGACCGGCAAAACCCTTGGCCACCTGCCAGTTGATGTCGGCCCTGCGGCGCGATGCGCACAACACGATCGCCAGGCCTCAGAATGTCAAAGCTGTTCAGCATCCCAGCCTCAGTGTATTGCGGTGAAGGCAAGGCAAGGCTCAGCAAAGCGGGCAGTCTGCGAATCGGTAGATGCTTCTCAAGTGTGACGCTCTGTCAGAGCCCTTCTTCGAAGGCGAACAGGGGGTTCGTGCGTCTACGCGGCCAGCTCTTATGCAGGGTGCGCCGAGCTCTATGCTGCAACTCTGGAACATGATCCGCATCCGCTGACAGTGACTATGCCATTCTATGAGTGCTCAGGGTTACGTTAAGTTTTGCACATATTCGAGGGTTTGGAGGCAATTGCAATCCAAACGGCTCAAATTTGCTGCAGTGAGAGGTCGACCTATGAGCCGAGCGAAGCTGGGACAGAGGCCAAAGCCACTTGCCACGCTGAAGTTCATAGACGACAATGAAGTAAAGCTTTGAGGAGGAGCCCATCCCTTGCCTCAGGCTTCTGCCGCTGGCCGCCCATCCCTAGGCCACTGCTGAGCTCTTACACTGCCTTAACCGCTTAACCGTTGAATCGTTGAATGCCAGAAATCTCTACCTGTGACACGGCTTGAAGATCAGCGGGGAACAGCGAGTCCTTGCTCACCCGCACATGGGCATCCACCTGCGTCATGGCACATTTTTCTATTCCGCTGACGCTGGCCAGGTTTGGAGAGCTCTTCACGTGGTGGTCGCAGGCTGTTTGGCAAAGCACTTTTCTGAATCATGGGGGTCAAGATTTTGAGGGTTCGTGAGCGCTTCACTGTTGTGTTACCAGCACGTCCTGGCAACTTGTGGTGAGCTTGTTGCAGAAGCTTGCTTTGTCATGCTTTATCATTCTCAGGCACCTGTGACATGCCCTTCTTGTTCACCCTCTGTGTTGTGAGGCACTTCAACGTACGAACGGAAAATGCAGTTCTGCCTTGGCCCAAAGCCTCGCAGAGCTGTGATTCAAGTTGGACATGAGTTTCTGCACCGCGAGTCACTTCTCGTGGGTATGATATTTGGGATGTCCTCGTCATATCTTCTGGTGTCTAGCAAGGATTCACGGTTGAAGACTCGAGTATGCAAAGCAGAAAGAATTTCGTCCGAGGCCAACTGGGCCGCCACACGCTCTGAGTTTTCTCCGGCATGTTCTGTTTTAAGTGACGCTTGTGTAGCTGCAAGTTTGCAAGCCCATAGCTAGCCCGGGCTGCAAGACACTCAGACTTCCGCAAGTTGCTGAATGTCTTGATGAGAGCTGCGCGACTAGATCCTTGTTTGCGCAATGTGTGTGACTTACAGTACTGGCACCTGCTGCGCTCCTGAGTAATTGTGGTGCTCTTGGTGCACGATGAAGCCACAACCTCTAGATCCTGCATCATTTCCCTGAGATTGTAAAACATTGCGCCTCCAGCCGGGAGAGTTGCTTCTAAGTTGCACCAAGTCCAAGAAACAGCTGAAAAGAGATTTCAACATGTAAGCATATGCAAGCTACCCGAAGCTGCTGGAACACTTTCTGTTGGCCAGGAACCTTGCCCGAAGAGTCGGTGCAGCAAGAGGCTGGGTGTAATATTTCTACTATCAACGTCTACACTCCACGCTCCGTGTTTCCAGCATGTAGCACCCATCTGGGGATACATATCTACAAGCCCCGCGAGTCATGAACTCCATTCAACCCTACATCACAGACCCCAAACCACAGACCACAGGACCAAACGGGGGGGGGCGGTTACGCTCTACCGGCCCTCTACCCAGAAACCCTTCCAGAAAACGTCCTCGACCCTCCATAAACCTTTTATAATCCTTCTGGACGGCCCAGGAACCTTCTCTAATCCTTCTATAAACATTTAAGCGCATCCTCATAAACATTGTTCGGATGAAGCTAAATTGCGTGGGAGTTTGGTCGTGTGATTGAGCTTGCTTAGCTTACCTCGCTGTCACGGCTAGGGCATGGCTGCGAGTCCCGTTTCGCCAGCGCAGCAGGTCCCAGTGCAGCTGGGTTTGTCACGTTGGCTGAGCTGTGCTTGAATTGGCAGCACAACCATCTTGTTTTCGGAACTGTTCATAGGACGAGATAAATCAGATAGGTGCCAGGATGTGCCCGGTTTGGCCGAGCCAGTCCAAGCCGAAACAACGTGGTCAGAACATATTTGACAGAGGTCATGAACTGGAATGTGACTTTTCCACGTGTGAAGTCCGCAGCAGCTGGCTTTGGTTGGAGGTCGACGTCTTTGGGCGGAAGATTGCGCATCCATTGCCCAGGCATTTGCCTGAGACTGGTCTGAGCGTGCTGCTTGCTTTGCTGCCATCATCTGAGTGTAGACCGATGCTTGCGGCAGACCTGCAAGGGCTCATGCTCGACCAGATCCTGATGCTGTAAGCCACGACCTCAACAAAGACGCTCCGTTTTGTGATCTCTTGGCACGGAGTTGCAGCACCTCCTTGTCAAGCGGATGGTCGAAGCCTCCAGTCTTGCACGCTTCACCGCTTCCTTACGCTTCCATTTCCTGTCCAGGCGTCACCTCCGTGGCACAAAGCATTGCAAGTGAGGCCTTGGATTTCAGTGCGGATTGACAGACATGAAGTTGTCAGCAGCCGCTGCCGCTAGGCAGACCAACAGAGGGAGGTCTTCTCGTTCCGCAACCGGAATGGGCACGGGCAACAGCCTTACAACATCGCCAGACAGACAACGAGTTTTAATCAAATAACCCACTCTGCACCTGCCTGTCCTTGGGAGGACCCTGACTTTGAAGCTTTTGAAGCCGCAAAGCCCATCGCGCTGTCATGTGTCCTGGTAATGTAGATTTCAGCTGCAATAGCTGCGAAGCCCACTCACCTTTTTGCAACGCCAAAAGATGACCCGTGATCGGTCCGCAAGCCTGGTCAAAGGAACATCCTTGCCTGGGATGAGAGCCGGGCTGTCACGCCGCCACATCAGCGACAGGCCAAGCCCCACGAAGTTAGCAAAGCAACTGGCCGTTCACAGATCCTGAAAATCTTCTCTGATTAGGTGCAGCCATAATTAGCGCCGTTCCAGAGCCAGCACTGGAGATTGCTAAAGTGTTTTTTGTCGCTAGGGCCGGCATATGGCAACCGACCCGGAGAAAGGCATACCAAGGCTGGGTAGAACTTGAGGAAGACTGTTGCCTGAGTCAATTGGGAGCCCCCTTCTCAGTAATTACTATAGGTGCGCTCGATCTACACGCGTCAGGATGCACGTCTCTTCTGGGATCTTCTCTTGATCCAGCTCAATTCAGGCCATGCGAGCTTGTGTGCTGGTTTTGCAGTCCTTGCAAGGGGTAATGTTCTCGAGGATTTCGGGTCTTAAGCGTTGGTTCTCATCATTTGGCAGGAAACATCATATGACGTTGGCTCGTAAGAGTCAAGTGTGTTGGAGAAGATTTTAGGCAGAGCGCAGAAGGCTTGGGGTCCAAGGAAGGTTGAGCTGTTCAAGCATGCTTGCAATGCCAGTTCGTGTCACTTGTGCCATCTTTGGCTCAACCAGATCTACCCAATAGCGAACTGTATCCCTACTAGTACGTACGTGCCAGCAGAGACCATGATGAAGCTGCTCGCCCTGGCTGTGTTCTTGGCTTGCGGGCCGAGTAGAGCCCTCGTTCACCGAGAAGGATGGGACTTTACACTGATGCCAGCATGCCGCGAGTCTTGATTTCAAGAATTCAGTAGCTGTCACACGAACTGCCTGGCATCATGCCCCGCTGAAAGTTCTCACGCCAACTATGGACATCATTGTGCATTTGAAAGGGAAAGGACAAGAATTCAGTAGTTGGAACCTCATTTTGCACACTTCTGTGTGATCTTCAAGATTTGGTTGACATCAAGTCCTGGTCCCGTGGAGGATCGCGTGACAGTCACAAGGTGGCTTGACTTGCTGAATCATGATGGCTACGGTCTCAGAATGCAAGTCCCAGCAGGACGCTCCTGCCAAAGTGGACCACAATTTTTTATCCAAGCCTACTTCACATTTGCGCCGTCCGATCAAGAGTCTGCCCATTGTTGTCAGTGAAGAGTCAGGGCTATGTACTCATGGCTACGTGTGTGTGGCTGGGCAAATGATTACATTTTATCACCATTTGCTTCGCAACATCCTTACGCAAGTTCAGTCGAGGCCATTTTTGCTCGCTGTAGGGGGAGATCAATTTATGTTTTTTCAACTCAGGTTTGCTTGATAGGCGGCATATCCGATGACGTAGCAAATTCTGCAGTACTGTCTGGTGGCTGCAGTGTTCTCATTCTGTAATAAAGACATTTGCTTCGTCAGCAGTTGGTGCGCCTGGAGCAACGCTTGCGTGAAGGAACTTGTGATTGGTATTTTCTGCAGCGTTGGGAATGCCTCAGGGAGTTTTAGCCCTGGCTCTTTGAGTCCTTCTTGCTTTCGAGTTTCGCCGCACACCTTCACCCTCATTACCAAGACTCTCCTGGAATGAGAGGGCTCGGCTTGTCCCGCAGTGAGGCCAAGAGCACCTCTAGGAGCATCCAAAAGAGCCGACCTTTGAAAGCCAAGCACAGTAGTCCTGCGCTTCTACCAAGGTCTTCTACTAGTAGGGGATGCATGGGCTTTTTAGCGGTGCGCTGTTCTGCCTGTACAGGCCAAGAGGAGCATCCGATTTCTGTCCCTCATTGGCAATGAAGGACTTCTGGCAATTCTGGCTAGCTTCCTTTTCTGCAAGCATGGTTGCAGCCGCCACCTCTTCGAAGGATCTGGTCATCACTCGCTGACACCCGCTATTCATCAGATCCTTGGCACCTCGCCCACCGCTATGGAAGAACTGAAGTCCATTGATATTCCAGACGGTCTCATGGGAAGCAAAGATGGGAAGAATGGTTTACATGCATGGATTGAACTTGCAACAGTGTTGCTGCGAACGGTTGGATGCCAAGACAGCCCGGTTGCCTCAGCCAGAGTTTTTCAATAGTGCACAGAGCTTGCTGTAAGGCATTGGTGGCGGGCATGACGACCACACGAGGCCGCTCGTCGGCAGTTGACGCATGAATCAACTACATGGTCCCCTTGGTGTCTTGAGGGCACCGCAGGGGCTCTTATGCAGGGCAGCTTCCACGAGTTGCCCAAGCTTTCTGACATACAGCTGAAAGCCTCGCTATGGACTAGGCCTCTTCCCAGTGCTCCTGTGACGCTTGGGACATCAGGCTACAAGTATTGAGACTAATGGCTGCGCACTTTACTGCATCATACCCGCAGCTCCCTCCCCCGGCAATTAATTCGCAACTCTGACTCTGGTTTCCGTTTCAGGCGTGGAGGTTCATGTCCCTTGACACGTCGCAGGTGGATTCCTGCGGACACGTGGGAAAGGAAGGTAGTGGGCGCGCTCGGTCGCATGAAAACACAAAAATGTAGAAACGGTGAATCGCAGCTGCCAAAGAACAGGCGGTTGTGCGAGTTGATTGAAGCCTGTTCTTCATTTTGAATGTTGACGCTTGGCTGCTAGGATATCTGAGCACAAGACGCGCTCCTTTACACTGATGAACGAGACCGAAGCTACGAACGAGTCCCAGGTCTTCATGTTTGATGGTGAGGAGTCAGGCGGGAGAGAAACATGTCCAGATCTAGCATGACATGGAGAGATAGTGATGGGAGCCGAAGGTAACTGACTTGTGCTGGCCAGATGCTGTCTCCACTAGAAGACATGATGGTAACCAGGACAAGGTTTCTGGAACGGTAACAGGATTCCTGGAACATGGATAGGGTCACAACCTCCAGCCACGATAGTGGCTAAGAGGTCTTGTTGTTCCATGATACAGCCATGACAAACATGACCAGCATTTCAAAGAGGTTCCTCCCCACCAACACCGCTTGGGAATCACCTTTTTGGTGGGGCTGTCCAACCAAAAGGCAACCTGCGAGGAAGTCACCCTTTTGGAGTTTTCGAGCCCCAAAAGCTTGCAAACAGAAACTCCTCCACCAACCCCGCTTGGGAATCGCCCTTTTGGTGGCGCGAGCAGCTACTAAAACTTGCATTTGATCATGTGTCGCATTTTTGTAGGCTTGCTTGTCGTGGTTCCTGCGTTCCTTTTTGTGGTCCCATTTTCTTCTTTCTTGTTATGGTTGCACACTTGCCTCACTAGAAGACATGATGGTAACCAGGACAAGGTTTCTGGAACGGTAACAGGATTCCTGGAACATGGATAGGGTCACAACCTCCAGCCACGATAGTGGCTAAGAGGTGTTGTTGTTCCATGATACAGCCATGACAAACATGACCAGCATTTTGGTGGTCCCATTTTCTTCTTTCTTGTTATGATTGCACACTTGCCTCGTCTTCTGTGCGTGTGGTTTAGGCATTTCAGGTCTATAATGGTTCATTCGTTGTGCTTGCTTGGTATTTCTGATTTTGCTCTTATGCTGTCACCCTTTTTTGCTTCTTTAATTTTGTTGTGATTTTGTCTTTTGCCTTGCAACAGCCAAGTGCTCTCACAGAACGGTCAGGTTCTCGTGTGAAGCATATGCAGGAGGCAAAACAAGAGTCCAGGGTCACTCGCGGGTAAATTGAGGAGTGTCGACGCTAGGAAAAGCACGCGTCAAGATGGTGTGTACTTTGATGAAGAATGACCTCAGGACTGTTAACTTGAAGATCAATGCATAACAATCCGAAAGTGCCCATCATCGACCCAGCAGCGACATGAAGCCAAGACGAATAGACAATGTGTCTGGTAATTCTGGATGCGAAGCCAATGGCCGCAGGACTCGTCCTACAAATCAAAGCAGGGGTTAATGAGAAGGTACCCCTGTTTTCATGTGTTCAGATTAGGCTGCTGGTTTCGATTTCAGTCCAGAGGTGTTTCTCGATTTTGGAGACTGGGACTCGTGGTACTACAAGACCATGTCAGACCACAGGGCTCTGCGTGTGTGTGCATCCACCCCATAGCCTGCTGTCTTGAAGAGTTGCATGGTTTATGGCTTGATAGGTCAGCTTCTCACGGCTTTCTTGGACTCTTGGGTGCAGATGGCAGCTTCCTTCTGCTGTGCGCACGCGCCTTCCGAAAAGGCGGTAAAGTGGGTCAGGTCCAATATAGGGAACGACCGCTTCTGAGGCACATGATGTCCGTGGCTTCAAGAAGGCATTGCTGGGCTATGGTGCAAACACCTTGCTGCAGCAAGAGTACAGCTTCCTGGCCTGAAGAGAATTTTCTATAAATCAAGATTGAAATTGAACAATCCTTCTGTGCAGATTCACTGTAACAGGTCCACAAAGCCTTGCTTAAAGGGAAGCCTCTAGAGGGTAGTTAGGGTGCAAAGCCTTCCCAGCCTCAACACGTCCCCGCAGCCTTGAATTCAAGATCCAAGCATGAAGCATGCCAGGCTTTCCAACTGGTTTCCAAGAGAGGCAGCCAACTGACAAGATCTACGACCTCACCAAGCGCCTTGCCTGCTGGTTTCTACATGCTTGGTCAGTCTTAGTCAAGGACTTCCACAGATTCTCAATTCAAAGGACTGAGCGGTGAATGAGCAACAACACACAGCCGCAGGTAAAACCTGAGTTTTGCAATACCAGAGCTGCATGGCATTTTGTGCGTGCAGGTTGTACCAGATGCTGCACGATGCAGATGTATCAAGGAAGGCAGTGATCAAATACGAGCGGGCATCCTAACTGAAATCGAGCAGCCTTTCTGTTTCGACGCCAGACTTGGGATTGCCACGAAATGATAGGGACATCTTGGAGGGCTTGGGTTTGTGGTTCGGGAGCCCTCGGCTAGACGAACCCACTGAGAGAAATATTCTGCAGAAGTATGAGAGAGCGAGAGCCTTCTTCGCGGAGAACGATTGGAGGATACTCTCGGCTTTGGAAGGCCTATTTCATAACACCCAGGAAGGCTACGAGAACTCCGCGATAGTTAAGATTCTTGTTGTAGTTGTAGCCCTAATTCGGAAGACTGTCCGCCGCTTGACATTTCTGGAAAAGAGATCTGCTGCGAAGTGCCCGGTGCTCGTACCTCAGTTATGGCCTAGAGCATGCAGCACATTTGATGCCTCAACAAAAGCAGAGTTGGCACCGTGTGAAACAGCCTTAAAGCCTCCGTAGCGTGCTAAGCTTCGTTGCTCATTGACATTATCTTCGACCTGCCAAGTTTTAACTTCTCCCCAGTTTGGTAGAAATGGCTGCATGTGCCTTGATGATCCCCACAGCACCCGAGGATCCCAAAGACCGAGCAGAATCTATGTTCCGCAGATTCCCGTGGCTATTCAAGAAGCTCAGCCATTGTTGGAGATTTGCATGTTTCATGCGCTCTTATCTTGAAGGTCTTGTCTGAGAGAGTGGCAGAGGCATGGTCTCGCAGAGTCAGAACACAGCCAGCAGGCCTTCGAAAGGTGCGGGGGTCTAGTCATTGCAACCTAGACGCTGCTGCAAGCTACGAGACTTTATTGCTGAGTTGAGCAGCCTGGCCATTCAGGTCACGATTTAAGCAAGCCCTGATCTTGTGTACTGATGCCTAGAGGAGCAGTGAGCATGATGTGTTGCATTGCAGACCAAAGAGTCCTAGTTTGCTTGCGTCAGTAATCAAGGGCAGTGGCTGAGTAGTTTTGCTGGAGGCACATCGAGCGACACCTTCGCCATGTGCAGAAAATGCATGTTCCAGTGCTGAGGCCATGCTCGTAGTAGTGTTAATTAGAGCTTGCCACATTTCTCCAGCGTGGTATGTTCAATGAGGTGCGCAGTGACATGATGTGACATGCAGCTGCGGTAGAGGGTTCGCTTGTGACTTCTCCCGGGGTTCGCTTGTGACTTCTCAATTTGGTTCGCTTGTGACTTCTTGTTTTTTGTCGTCGCGAAATGCAGAACTGTCGTG